AAAGTGTGGGATCATAACCTGGGCCAAAGTCGGACACTTAACTGACTGAGCCACACAGGCACCCCTGAAATAATTTTAAATAACCACCACTCCAGGTCACAGTCTCTTAATAGAGGAGTCATGGACCAGAACCTGGCACTGGGTGAAATGGCAGCAAGGTATAACAAAGAACATAGACTTTGAAGCCAAAATACCTGGGGTAACATCTTGACTCTGGCGCTCACGAGCTATGAGCTCTTGAGCAAATTGCTCAACCTCTCCTTTCCCCTTTTTATGGAGTTAGATGAGGGTAACAGTGCCATTTATAGAGGTTGCTTTTAGAATCCTATCACATTTAGGAAAACCACTCAACACAGACATAGCACACATTTAACAAATAATAGCTCTTATTACTCCAAGAAAATAACATGAGAAGACCTGGAATGTGAGTAGATCCCATGGGAAATTGTTCATATGCTACTCCAGAGCACCAACCTGGGAATCACAACACCAGTATTCCAGTCCAATGCCATTGCCAGTAACTTGCTGTGACCTTGGGCAGGTCACAGTATTTCAGATGGTAATGAGGGCCCTGGAGCAATTCTCACAGTTTTGGAGAGACCGGTAGAGAGCATCTAAAGGTTGGAGCAGAGCACAAGCTCTGCCTTTGCTTTCAGAAGGAATTATTTTAGAGTCACATAATTGCCTTCACTATTTTAATTTTGATCTGATATTGTCATTGACATTAGTACCTATGACTTCAGTATAACTGAGAAAAAGCAATGAATTATTGCTTGTCATCATCCATAGATAAACAAGGGTGTGAGGTATTGACTCATTCTTTTAAAAAAAAAAATGAGCACATACTCGAGGCCAGGTACCGTTCTAGATGATGGAAGCATGACAATGAACGCGACAGAAGAGTTCCCTTCCCTTACGGAGGTTACATTCTAGTGGGAAAAGACAGGCAACGAACCAAGTCACCGAACAGACGCATTGTATGTTAGCAACAATCCCTTGGGGAGAAGGAAAGCTTTGGTAAGGTTAAAGGAATAAGGCAGTTGGGGAAACGTACAGTGAGGAGGTGAAAGTTAAGCCAGTACTTGCCGGTGAGGGACTGAGATGTGTGGATAGCTGGGAAGAGTGCCTGGGGTAGAGAGAGAGCAGAGCCGGAGAGGGAGGGAACTTGGCACATCTGAGGAGCAGTTGGCCACTGTGGCTGGAGAGGAGCCAACTAAGAGTGGGTGGCAGAGGGAGGAGAGAGGCAGCCAGGAGCCAGACCCTGTGGGGCCTCATGGACCGTGGACGGGACTGTGGGTTTTATTCCAAGTGTGTGAGGGGAAACCATTGGAGAGTTTTGCACATGGAAGGGGCATTTTCCAAGGGGCATTTTCCAAGGAGCCCACCAACAACATGCCTGGGGCAGGGACACCGGTTACGTTCTGAACCAAATAGTTGTAAAAATGTGGGACTACCCCAGTAATCCGCTGTCCTTACATCCCTGGGTTTAAACGGAATTCTTCCCCATACAAAACAGAGGGAGCCTTTGCCTCGCTTGAAACCCTAGTTCTGTTCTGCAACCCTGGCAATGGCTCAAAGTAATTAAATGTAAAGACCCATTTTTAATGTGAAGATTAAAATGACAGCAAAGAGTATTATGGGCAAATGCAAAAGCCTTCACAGAATCACATAGATTTTAAACTAGAATAGTGACTATAACTCACAGCTTATCTATTTCTCAATCTCGGCATGTCTAGGTTTGCCAGCATTTGTGCGTTGGCTGGAATAAAGCCTCTCTGCTCAAAAGCAATGATGAGGGATGCATCCATTTAACAGCAAAATCTCATTTTTCCTGCCTGTCTGCCTGGGCCAAAGGCATGGGCATCATTTCTCAATCTCCAATGTCTGCTTCCCAATTACTTATCAGGGATCCTAATCTTGAATTGTCGGCCTTATAGGTCCTATTAAAAGTCTCACATTTGAGAGAGCTTTCAGATTTGGCTTTGAAATCCTTCCTCGTGTCCACAGAGAGCACACATAATTGTCAGAAGGTCTGAGGGTAATAGCCTGGCATGTCCTGCTAAGTAAAGGAATTTCTTTAGAGATTTCATCATCAAAATATTATTGTGACTTTTTTTGGGGTTATATACCATACATCATAATATACCCATGTTTGTTTTAACAAGTAATATTTCAAGGTATCAGTGACGCTTCTCAAACTGCTGGTCCATCTGCCCATCCCCATAGTTGAATGGAGTGAGCATCCTTGGTTGTGCTCTCGGTTTATCACGGGACTTTGAGTCCTCCTTGCCACCCCAAGTTAATGCCTGGAAGAAATACCTCTTAAATGCCAGCCATTCTACCAGGTCAGTCCATACTATACCGCTGAGTTCCCTCCACACCCCTTCACACCTCTGTAACCTAAGAGCATGGTGAGCATTTTTATTAAGAATCTGTGTAAAAAGTAGCCATATGCATCGCTGGTTGTCATATACTAACCCTCACACCAAATTCCTCTTGGTGCTCAGGAAACTTCTCTCCTTGTGAAATGGCGTACCTTTTAAAAATAAGAACTCATGAATCCATCTTTTTGGTTTTTTTCCTTGACTGATAGGAAATTCAGAGGTGTGTTTCACATTTAGTATTTGGTAGCATTCCTTAGCCTACGTTTCTGGTATAATTATGCCTCCGATGGCTACCCCCTACCCACCCCACCCCTCACATGAATTGACTTTAGGGTTTTAATTTTCATTTCCATGTCTTTCAGATATATTGAACCTGTGTTTTAATGTAGACCATTTCAAAAACACTTGCTCAGTAGTTATTGCTGACAACTCCACGAGCGGTGTGTATGAAAGGGAGAAAGAAAGAAGTTCATTTGCTTATTCATTCTGCAAACCCTGACAGAGGCCCTCCTCCATCCCAGCCTGGGCTAGTCTGGAACAAGGGGGCAACAGGAGCGTGCAATGTGTTTCTTCTTCCTTTTCACTGAGGAGAGAATAATAGCCTCAACTATCTCCTTTAGTTCAATGCTTCTATTATCTTTCATTTAAAAAATAGAACTTTGCTTTTAAACTATGTATTATTATGTATATATTGCATAACTGGCCGTGAAGGATCCTATGTTGGGGCATGTTTTCCCGGGCACCTGCATTCCCAACTCTGCCTTCCAGAGAAAACCATGCTGAATGTTCTTCAAATTCGTCTTGTATTATTTGTCATTTTAAAACAAATGCTTTCTTGGGGAGCCCGGGTGGCTCAGTCGGTTGAGCATCCAACTCTTGGTTTTGGTTCAGGTCATGATCTCACGGTTTGTGGGTTTAAGCCCCACATCGGGCTCCATGCTGACAGCACGGAGCCTGCTTAGGATTCTCTTTCCCTCTCTCTCTCTGCCCCTCCTCCACTCACTGTCTCTGTCTCTCTCTCAAAAGTAAACTTAAAAAAATTTTTTAACTTAAAAAAAAAATAAAACAAGTGCCTTCTTAATGCTGAAGGTGGATGGCAACTGAAGATGAGGGAAATATGTCTGAAGTTTTCTCTGGAAGCTCAGGTTTTGACTGTGAAGGTTTCCCTGTGTTAATTATGCTACAGGCTGGAACACCAGACCCAGGAATCCTTGAGCCAAGTTCCACAGCACTAATTTGCTTCTAAGTACTTAAGAAGCCAACTTTCAGATGCCTTCGAGGAGGCAGATACCAGAGAGCTATTGCCAGCCCCTGGGGAAAATGGTGACAGCGCTCGCCACACTCCCTTTTGGTTTTCTGTGTGGTCCACACGACCTTGTGGCATCTGTAAAACCTTCCTCTGCTTTCCACCATCTGAACACTTCATACTAGATATGGACACATAAGCCAAGCTCTTCCCACACCAACAGGGGACTTCCTGAGAAGAAATTGGCCATTCTCATTGCCCACAAAGCAAGCATCCAAACATGACCAAAACAACGCCCCAACCACTGGTGACTGCTCTCGTGGGAGCCTGGGAAAGGATCGTAGAACAGCTGATCTACATCCTTCTCACTCCCACTCTGTTAAATACTCATACCTGCATTTCCCCCAAACAATGCCTATCACTTCAAAAAGCCCAGAATCCTCTGTTAGATCATATGGATGATTTAAAAGCAGTGTCATTAAATTACCTTCTAATTAGTTGGCTCTCATGTTGCCAAGCCAGATTGGCTAGAGGCTCAGTCCCTTTATTGTATGATTAGCATATTACTCAGGCCAGCTCTAACAAATATAAACAGCTATAAAGACAATGTTGACAAGACCAGGGACAAGCAAGAAACTATTCCTAATCCGGGTTCTACATTTGTTCCTGCATATATCAGAGGCTAAGAATGGGACTAATTTACACATGAAGCCAGGTTGGGAAACCTTTGTAAAATCACTCTCCCAAGAATTTATTCTGCTTTGCACAGAGAGGTCATTCTACCAACATTAGCTGATGGGAAATGTTTCTTGGTGTCTACATTCAAATATTTATTGGTCCTGGGCCAATAATTCCTTCAACGGAGGCAATCTGGGTCTACTCTGTGGTCCAGCTTTGCCCTAATTTCAGAAGTAGCCCAAGTCTTAAAATGAGAAAAGAGAATCTTCTCTTCATTGGTGTAGCTGTGGTTTAGGAGCTCATCATTTTTGCTGGTAACTTGCTTCAGGAACCTCCATTCTATTTATTGTATTTGAAGTCGTCTTTTATCCCAAGCCAGCCAACCCCGGGGCTCCTCCATGTCACCACCCATCCTTAATTAATCCCTCTTGTCCCAGAGGAAGAGCCCCTGTTCCTTTCTAAAGCCATTTTCAGCCTTAGATCCCATCCTGCCAGCCCTACTTCTTCCAAAGCCTTTTGCTCTTCAAAGTCTTTCTTCTCCCCTGTCTTCACAGGATACTTCCCCCTGCCTCCCACAAGATTTTACAATCTCTCTGTCCCATTATAAAAATAACTCTGCTTTCTCTTCCCACCAGAGTTCTTTCTCCCTGCTCCTTCCCATGATGACAAGGCTTGCCACCTCCTCTTCTCACCTCCCATTCTCTCCTCAGCACACTGCCATCTGTCATCTGCCTCCAACACTCAAGAAAACCAGCAACCGGGGCGCCTGGGTGGCTTAGTCGGTTGGGCGTCCGACTTTCGCTTAGGTCATGATCTCGCGGTTCGTGGGTTCGAGCCCCGCGTCGGGTTCTGTGCTGACTGCCAGCTCGGAGCCTGGAGCCTATTTCAGGGTCTGTATCTCCCTCTCTCTCTGACCCTCCCCTGCTCACGCTGTCTCTCTCTCTCTCTCTCCCCTAGAAATAAATTTAAAAAAAAAACAAAAAACAGCAACCGCCCTGTCCCCACCTCTGGCATATTTTACTTCTCCTCTTGACACATTCGGCATTGTTGGCTCTGCCCCCCCCCAACCACCTTCGGCTCCCAGCTCACCATTTCTTACCAGCTTTTCTGTCTTCCCACCAACCTTTCTCTGTCCCTCTGCCTTGCTCTCCTCCTTCTAAATATTTATTCTGCCCCTGACTTTCTTCTCTTTTCCTTTTACTTGCTCTCCCTGGAGATATTCAGGCACACATCTTTTTTTTAATTTATTTATTTATTTTGAGAGAAAGCGTAAATGGGGGAGGGGCAGAGAGAGAGGGAGAAAGAGAATCCCAAGCAAGCACAGTACTGTGAGCACAGAGACCAATGCAGGCCTCGATCCCATGAATCTTGAGATGATGACCTGAGCTGAAATCAGGAGTCAGACACTTAACTGACAAAGCCACCCAGCTGCCCTGGCACACATCTTTAAATGCAGACCTACTTGAAATTTTATATTCTGGATTTGCTACTTATGAGCTATTAGCTCTTAGAAAACCACTTCACTTTTCCAGCTTCAGCTTTGTGTCCCATAAAATAAGGAGGAATTATACCAACCACAATCACGCTTTGACTGAATTGTCCCAAGCCTGCAGAAGGCCTAGCCCATTGCTGATATATGGAAAATGCAATACAAGGCAGCTATCGCTACTTCATGATTATCTTCGTTATCACAACCCCCAGAACAAGCTCTTCTAATCTTCTCCCCTGACCTCAACTCCTGTATTTGATTCACGTTGCTCACTTCTACATTCCTAGCCCTGACCTATCCCCTGAGCTTCAATTAATAGTGCAAACCATCTACTAGACAGCTTCTCTGGAATATCCAAAGGCACCTTCAACTTCACATGTTCTAAAATGGGCTGATTTTGTCCTTCCAAAATTCTCATGTTGGAGCCCTGCCTCACAATGTGACTGTATTTGGAGATAGGGCCTTTAAAGAGGTGACTGAGTTAAAATGAGCCCATTAGGGCGAGCCCTAATCCAATCTGACTGGTGTCCTTAGAAGGTGAGAAAATTTGGACCTACAGAGAGATACCAGGGGTGCATGTACGGAGAAAAGACCATGCGAGGATATATATAGTTGGAAGGCAGCCATCCACCAGCCAAGGAGGGAGGACTCAGGAGAAACCAAACCTGCCAACATCTTGATCTCCAACTTCTAGCTTCCAGAATTGTAAGGGGGGAAAAATTCTGTTGTTTAAGCCACGCAGTGTGTGGTATCTTGTTATGGTAGCCCTAGCAAATGAACACAATGTCCCAAGCTGAAACCACTGTGTTTCCTAAAATGTGCTCCTCCTCCTGATTCCCTTCTTGTGGCTGATTAATGACTCTTCCTTCTCCCTCATCCTCCACATGTAATCAGCCCCCAAGGCCCACTGATTTCAATTTCTGAATAGCTCACGAGCTATGCGTCACCTTTCTTAGCTCAGGCTCACATGGTATTTCATCTGGTCTCTTGCAATAGTCTCCCACGTCCTTGGTCTCTCTCACCACGTTCCTCCATTTCAATCCAGCCAAGATACCAGTTAGATTAATCATGAAGCAGTCTCGTTTGCATCTGCCTTCAGCCAAAGTCCTTCATTAAGCCCCTACTGCTTGGTAAAAGTTCCTCAGCCTGATACCTGAAACCATCATAATTTGGCTCTAGCTTAACTATCATTCTTAGGTCTTGCCATTTCCTGCCTTAGACCTTGACTCTAGTCAAACCAGCGCACTTACTGCTCCTGCGAAAGGGCTCCATCCTTTTTGACGACTGCCAGTACAAAACTCCCTTCTCATTCCTCAGACTGTCATACTTTCCCCCATTCTTTAGGTTCCAGCTCAAATTCCACACCACCTTATTCTTTACAGGAGGAGTCTTGGCACTGGGCTCAGCTGCTGACACCCCTCATCATGATGGCCTATGCCATGAGTGTGTTCTGCTCAATTTTAAGCCCATCAAGAGCCAGAGAGCTGGCTCTCCTTCACTTTGTTCCCCTACTGTGCCCAGCACAGTGCCTGGCACATATGTCTTCCACTGATGTTGACTGATGAGCAAATGGAGAATATTGGTCATAAAGCGAGGTCATAAAGACAAGCAAGTCTTTATGACAAGAGGTTCTCTTCCTGACTTCCCTCTGGTAAACTGGGTTGTTTGTTCAACTCGCCAAAGTGAATCTATGTTCTGGAATTTAAGCATCAGAGAGGAGGTAAGCAACCAAGCATTTAAAAAGAGAAAAAGCTGGTAGGAGGCACGGGGGCTAGTTATGATGTCATTAATAGCCACCATGTCCTGACATTAACATTTCTCTAGGAACAATATTTATCTTTATTAATGGCTCCCAGAGAGCTATCCTCACACCCGCCCCAAACTGTTCAACTCTGCAAGCAACACTTCCACCTGGGGCCATCTTCTCTGATCTTTCTAGTTCCCAAATAATCCACCCCCCACCCCCATCCCAGCACGCTGCTTTTTCCCCTTCATTGTGACATCTATTATGGAACACAAGCACCTTGAAGTTAGCTCAGTGATGTGCACCACGGAGTATGCTCTGATTGGTCCTTCCAAGAAACCACTGCTCTGGCTCAAAGCATGACAGCACTCCTGATACTTTCCCAAAAGCCATTCTCAAATGGGGCCAAAGCATCTAAGGTCACTTTGTACTCATAAGCAGAGTGTGCATTTGCAAGGATCAGACTGGACACAATTTTTGTGTTATTTTATATGGTTTTTAAATCAAGAAAGAGTGCATCCCATGTGCTATGCTAGTGTCTGTCTCTCCCACAACTGCACTGAGCAGAGGTAATCACAACATGGCTGCTTTGCCATGGCCCTCAAACACTATGTGTTATAGCTTGCTATATCCATTCTAAGAAAAGGAGGTTCTGCCAAGCTAGTTATTAATTTGGTTGTCTAGTTTGACAAACAGATATAGTTCTACCCCCCTTAAAGCAAGAAAATGAGCTTGTCCAAACAAAGCCTTAAAATAAATTGCAGGGGGACCTAAGATTCAGAAAATGTAAGATCACATATTTACTAATTAGAGACAGCCTTTGGCCTTCTGAGCCTCAGTTTCCTAGTCTGGAAAATGGGCTAACACCTGTTCCTCACATCCTAGATACCATGTGAATCCAACCAGATGAATACAACATTTGAAAATTGAAAAGCACCATATAAATATATTATTTTAGAAGTATTTTCCTATGTAATAACTTTGAGATTTTCTATCTACATATAAAAGTTTCTTATCAAATAACTCAATATGTATTTATACCAATTAGCCTCCCATCACTAACAAATTTCTATGCACTAAGTATAAGCAAGAATGTGCTATATTTTCCATGTGCCTGATACATGGTAGGAATGTAATCATTGTGCACTGAATTAGTTAATTGGCTAATACTATAAGCTCTTTCTGAGTTACCTATAGTTAGCAGTGGCCAGATTCACTTTCTTTGGTTCTTTGGTCATTCTACATGTTTTTTAACACATTATTTTTCATAAGATGTGAATAAAACATTTTGGTCCGTTGTGCCGTATGTATATACAGTTTCACATTTAGAGGCTTCTTGGCTATTTTCTTGGAGAAGGCTGGAGTGGGAGATGAGGAGCACCTGGGGCTGAGGACCAGCAGGGAGGAGGGGGAGGAAGGAAATGTGTGCACAGGACTTTAAAGAGAAGACCTGAGAAGAGTCTAGATTCTGATACTTTCCTCACATTAAAAAATCAGGAGGAAAAAGGTTTGTCATGTGGTAAAAAAGATAATGCCAAGGATCGTAATTTTCACATCATAAAAGATGTAAGTAAGGGCCCCTGGAGTTAAAACATTCATTCTTTGATCATCGAAGTAGAAACATGACCCTGGTTCTTAAATCAAGAGTCATGCTCTTCTCTAGTTCCTCTTCTCAACAGGCAGTTTATCTGGGTCTTTTGGGAGTCAGACATAATGCTAGGTGCTACAGATCCTTATCTTCATGGAACATTCCAACCTAGCTCTGTTCTGACTTTAGTCAAAGTTCTGAGAGACACCTTCCAAAAAGCTGAGTGATGATGTACATGCAGCTGAAGGCAGAATATATTCTGGGAAAATAAAACTTTTAAAAGTAGATTTGTGTCTCATCACACCATATGGCCATGTGAGTGATCAGATGCATCTATCTGTGCTATTGATAGAAAAATAGAGCGTATTACATATACTTATAACTATGAGCAATTACATCATTAAGGAATTTAAAAATAGAAATGATCTCTTATTTGGTTAGAAAGAGCATTGGGGGAAAATTAGATGCATCACCATATGGGTAACCTTAATTCTAATTTGCATTTTAATGGAAATGAATGCCTCATTTTCTTCAGTAAGCCTTTTGTGGGTCTCTCTAGCTTGAGCAAACCAGATTTCAGCTGGTACCTGGTTCTCTACCTAAAAAAGCATTTCAGGTGAGAATATCACATATTGATATGTCAAGACAGATACATGGTGCATACTTAAAAGTTGACACCAGGAGTCCATGATTCTTTTTTGTAAAGGAATGTTTTCTCCTGATCTTAAAGGTAATCTATATCATCTGAAAGAGAAATATAAAAAATAATAGATTGTTTGGAATCCTAGCATCCAGAAAGTAAACACTGTGTACTATTTCATATCCTTCATTTTTCTACCTACATAAATGATTTTATTGGTTTTCTTTTTTTTTTTTTTTTTTTTTTTTTTTGGAAAAACAGAATATAAGGCATTCTATTTGTGATGCATATGTGTTCCCTTAAGGCATATTGTGAATATCTT